TGATAAGTAAAGTATTTATCTTGGTCTGTATTGTGTTCGTGTAATTACTTTGTTAATATAATAAAGTAATTACGTTAGTGTCCACGTGTTGTGAGTGTACCCAACTTAACACAATGTAGCATAGGAAAGGCACTAACTAAAAAAATCTGCCAAGTCCTAGCACAATCTCATTCCAAGAGAGTAATTCTATTTATAATTCTAGGATAGTTACAACTTACAATAGTAAAACTTTTATTACTCCTACTTAACCTAAGTTAATATATGATCTCCTATTCTCCTTGGTCTTAGGAGATTCAATTCTAGGAGATTTGATACCATATAGTAACACCTTTCTAGTTCTTATATAAATACAAAATATTTTTTTTATCTTTTTTGGTTCTAATTTCTTAAATTTTCTTCACACGTTCACAATTTTTCTTCTCTCAAAAAACAAACAGAAAAAAAGGGAAAAAAAAATGAATTATTGTGATATTTGCCTTGGCTTACGAGATCCATATCCCACAAATATATATTCAATCTGTGGAGTTTGTTATGGAGATGCCAAAACCATAGTTGCTCTCACGAAAAAAATTGATAAATTCAGTGTTAACTCATCTTCTTCTTCACCAAATTCGGCCAAGGTATACATATATCGCGTTCTCTTTTTCTTTAAATTAATTAATTGAACTTGATTAGTATAGCTTGCAATTTGTTGTATTTTTAGTAGGCTTTTGTTAGGTCCATCTAATTATTATATTTAACAACTAGTACAACACCCGTGTATTACACGGGTGCTTGTTAAAAAAATATTCTTAAATTTTAAAATCAATGAGAAACTATATTAAATTTAGTTTACTTTTTTACGGAAAAAATATATTACTATATATTTTAGAATGATATGTGTTACTTATGACTTACATGTGTTATATTATATTAGTTTTATAACTTATATCATATAACTACTTGAAATATAAATATATTAATTGATAAATAATTTTATTTTTCTAATTAAAATATATATACAATTCAATAGTTATAACAAGGAAAGATATTAAAATGCAATTAATACATGTAACATGACCATAAATAATTAACATATTTATGGTAATCCGAACTTAATTATTTTTTGTTTCGAATTAAATTTAAATTTACTCAAGCCTAATAACGAAGCATGTAATTTTGCCACATAGGATTCCAAAGCACCAGAAGCAGCCACATAGGCTCAGCGCGTTCTGAATTAATATACAGGGGATTACAATTTATATACTTTTATCACAAGATGTGATATCATTATTCACATGCCCTGCACAAAAGTATTTTTGACTTTATATAGCCAACATATGTGTAATCTTGATGCCCTAATTAGGAGACACTGGAGAATTTTCATAGAACACTGTGGCCCGTCGCCCGGCCCAAAACGAACTGACGGGACCAAAAAAAATTATGAACATGGACCGAACCGCAATTCTAAGGATCCGGTTCGGGGCTGGTTCAGGCTGGGCTGGGATCGTTTCACGGGCCAGTTCGGCACGTGAACATGTCTGTTTGTGTGACACATATTTTAAAATCACCCTATAAAAAATCGTGTTTTCAAAGATGGGTGTAGAAAAAAAAAAAAAAAAAATATCGATTGCTTTTAGATGCAAGTGATGTTTTTCACCTTTTTCAAATGTTAAAGAAAGATTGGCAAAACCTTGCTTTAAAAATAGTGTTTCAAATTAACAATTTAATTTAATTTAATTATTATTATTGTTATTATTATTTGTTTCTAATGATTGTACATTTATGGGTCAGGGACTCGAAAAAGCGGTACAATGGGTGAAGGAAAGGAAGGAATATGAAAAGTTGCAGAAAGAGATGATAAATTATTTGAGTAGAATTTCAGTAATATTAAGGGATGGGATTCATACAGATATTGAAGTGAAGCCTGGAAATAATGGACCCTCTATTCCTGCACACAAAGCCTTATTGGTATGTATCATATTTTTCAGTTTTCATGTTTGATCTCCTTGTCTAGTAAATGTTCAATGACAATTTTTTACAGGCAGCAAGATCGAGCATTTTTCGAAACATGCTAGACTCGGACGTGTGCAAGGCCCCACCGAACTACACGATAACTCTTCCGGAGTTTAACCACGATGAGTTGAGTTCGCTCCTCGAGTTTCTATACCGAGGGTATCTCCCGAGAGAAAAGCTCGAGAGGCACGTGTACACTTTATTGGTTGCTGCGGATAAATACGAAATCCCGTTTCTCAAGAGGTTTTGCGAGATCTACATGTTGGGCTCTTTGAGCACTTCAAACGCACTCGATGTATTGGAAATATCCGACACGTGTTCCAACCAATCGTTGAAGGACACGGCTTTGAACTTCATCGTTCGAAACATGGAGGACGTGGTTTTTTCCGAGCGTTTCGATGCTTTCGCGCTCAAAAATCCACATCTATCCGTGCAGATAACGAGGGCTGTCGTTTATGGAGGTAAGAAATAAACTGATCGGTGTTTGAGGTTTGTTTAATTGTGAAGGAAAAAGGGGTGAAAAAAATGGAGGAGCTTATTTTAGTTGATGAAGTTCGTATTTTTTGTTATGAAAATGAAACAGAGTGCTCTTCTTACAAATCTCATTAATCTGTCATGAAGAAATGTGAAAGTGGTGAATGAAAGAAGATGAAATTATATGTCAATTTTAAATATATATTGAGTGGCCATAAATTAGATTAAACATGCATAGATGCATAAAGTGGCGGCAAAACGTCTTTAGAAAGGGGAAAAATATGTAGAATTGGCATAAATGAGTAGCATATGTGAGTTGGCTAGGTAAAGGTCCATTTAGTGGTGGCCAGTCAACGGGCCAAGGCCCGTCCTAGCCCGGCCCGCCGGGCCACGGGCCTTCCAACAAACGGCTCGCTAAGAACCAAGGGCCGGTTCACGGGCCGGAACGACCCTTAAAAAAACAAAGAATTTTAACAATGTGGCCCGCCGTCCGACCCGGTTCGGCCCGGACCGGCGGACCAAAATACAAAAAATAGAACCGGGACCGAACTGCGACCTACGGGTCCGGTTCAACGAACTGGCCCTTAGACTACGAATAACAGCAACCTTTCCAAACACCCAACCATTCAACCACCCTAATATTTAATTACTTTTTCTCTCTTCCACATCATCAATAATCATCCCAACCACACTATTTCAATTTTGCAAGTTTATCAGCAACCACACCAACATCCAACCACAACCTTTTTTTGTGAGAAGTGATGGGGATTTATGTAATGTGATTTAACATATTTATGTTTTATTATATAAAAAAACATACGAATTTAAAAATTATATATTTATGTCAATTTAAAAATAAAAAATAAGTATAGCAAAATTGATCTCTATTTGTAGAGAATTAAAAATTATGAATTTTGATATATTTTTTTATTTTTTTATTTGATTATATAAAAAATATATTAGTTTAAAAATTATTAAAAAAAAGATGAACCAACGGGATAGGGACAAGTGTCTCTATTCCATTGGTTACTTTATCATAAGACCAACTCAACCACTTGGTTGCCTATCCCCCAAAACACACAACCGGTCTCTCCTCTTTTCTCATTTTTTTTTTTTCCACCTGGACACACCAGGTCCCT